AAAACAAGATCGACGGAAAAAAAAAAACAAACCAAAGGATCATTTGCTATGTCGGTTTAGATTTGATAAAATTCATGTCCCGTTTAACTTTTTCGTCCCTAAACATATTCTCAGTGCTCGTGAAAAAAATCTAGGAGAAGGTGGTTTTCTTCATCAGTCACAGACATATGTATGTACGTTTTTCAATGCTCAACTCGAGTAGCGACCGGAGAATCACGACAATGACAACGAAGCCAACGTCTAGGATAGGTATGATGATGGCGATTTCGTTAAGCTCTACAAGCAAGGCTAGCTATAGCTGTATATATTCCAAGCGTAGAAAGATTGGATCGCTGAGATTGCGACTTGTTTGCTTCGGATTGCGACTGGTAAGCTCCTAGTGTACTTCTATTGGAGCAGAATTTAATGCAAATCAGTCCTCGAAATTGATTGTTCGGTGGATGAAACTGGAAAAGAGTGGACTTTGTGGAGAGGATTCTGATCATTTCCTCGTTTTCGTTACAATGGATTTATTATGCCACTACTTACGTATCTTCCGCATTTGTACAACGAGGATTTTCGATGGCGAAGGTAAATATAGATCATAGTCAGAGCGGCGGAAAACTATTATCCCGGAACAAGTGATTTGTTGGCAGATTGCAAAGAATAGTATAAGTTTATAGCTCTAGAAAATGGGATAGGTGATTCAAGAATAATTGAATCATCCCCAACGAGGATTGGTCATCGGACATTTTCTCTAAAGATCTGAGTCAAACCACAACTTACGAGCTGATTTGGAAGCTTTATCCCTCCACACATCAGTGAAACTGCAGCACATAAAAAGTTTGCTCTTCTAGAAAAAAATGAGACCCGGTGCAGCTTTCACCTCTTGTTATGAAAAGCAGCAATTTCGTAAGGTTTTGGTGGTAGCGTTCAACAGCAAAACTATCATGATTTATGTTTACGATCCATCCCCATTCGCATGGCTTATTTTTCTGACCTTCACTTCAAACAAGCAAAAACCAAAAATCTTCCAGCCAATGCCACAATACCGCAACCAACCGTACGTTTACTGTGCAGGGTAGGATAGTCCAAAACGGACCTCGGGGGTACAATGTCCCCCGCGGTATTTCGTAGCTTTCCAAGTATTGACCAATTACTTAATTTAAAAACCAAATCATGAAATCGCAGAGTAGGTTATGGGAAAGCAAAGCAAACCACGTTGGGCCATTTTACCCCAGGAGTGCATTATGGACTGTTCTCTCCTGCCACTGCTATGCAGGGGGCATAAAAACAACGAGATGAACTATGTTCACGTATCTTCACATTTAGCAGCGTGCTACGGTTGTATGTGCTAGTATTCAGGAGACTTTCCAATTTTTCCTTTGCTCATGGTCCGAATTGGCCTCCCATTCTCCATGGATGATGGTTGCCGTTGGTTTTCGTCGTCACTAGACGCTGGATGTCGTTTGTGGGGTGTGATAGAAATCACTATAAAACATTATAGTGCTAATAAAACCTAATTTGCTCGGTTTTTTTGGCTTTGTCATACATATCATCCACAAGATTAATGGCAAAAAAGAATCCCAGGAATGGACGGAACATACCAACTGAAAAAGAAAACCTTGGAGGACTCTAATGAGATAAGCTCCAATTCCATGCAGACATTAAAACAATGACCTGCTGACATCCTACAGAAAGCAAAGTAATTCCAGAACCAGGAGCGTTTCTAAGAAGCTAAAGATTATGTAATGGCCCTCGCCAGTTCAGGCAAGATGATACTACAATACGTTGGTATATGTGTCATTTCACCAATTTATTGGGGTTATAGGCGACCGGCCTCCAACACAGTCGGGCAATGGGTGTGGAAAGGATTTCACTGGACTTCCTCCTCGTCCAGTTCCATTATAAGTGGAAAAACGCTCAGACACTTGCTAAGCAGTTCAAGAGTGTGCATAATTTAAATTTTGGTCTAACTTGTCCTATTGAGAATCAGGCTGCTTGGGGTTATCTGAATTTTTTCATTCGGGAAAATATATTTGATGATTGACGATGATGGGGGACTGACTTGGACGAAGAAAGGACTATAAATAAAAAGTTTCAAAATAGGAAAGCTCCGGGTGATCATGGAATTTCCTATATTCTCATCAAAAATACTCCCAGAGTGTCTTGTTTTTCTTGATAAAATTATTTTAAAAATGTTTCCATTTGGCATACTTTCCTGATAAGGCCAGAACAAATCACAAGTTTTTCTTTAGTCACTCTATGCTCACACCAGTTGAAGAGGGGCGGGGGGGGGGGGGGCGATAAAAAATAGGCCAAAAAAATAAAACATTCAAACATCTAAACCGAATACTTCGAACGTTTACATTAGTTCTTAGCACTAATTCATAACAGGAGCCACAAATGTTGACATTGTTATGTGTAACACTCGGGGTTATCAACAAGACATTTCGCGCATAAGTTTTTGTATCCTTTCAAGGAAGAACATTGGTAATAATTGGATCAAAGCAACTGATTTTTGGGTTTTGATAAATTCCGGGTAAACCATCAAGAGAAATACCACAAACGTAATAGTTCTTCTGTTTTCGATAGTTCAAATATTCAAATATAACATAGCAGAACAGGAAACTGAAACCTACCTATTTTGTGAATTTAAACCCAGTTTTCTCAACAAGTGTGCGTGCTTCAAAAAATCGTATGGATTCAGGAAGGTATATTTAACAAAATCCAAGCCTAATATTCAAAGCAAGGAGCCAAAATCAATCTTGGCTGAATAAAAACCAAATTTTTATAAAAATACGTACTTTTTTCAATTAAAACTGTCTTTGTGTGTGCTTAAAAAAAATCATCCCGTATGAATTCAGAAAGGACCATTCTATAAAATCCATGCATAACTTTCAAAAGGAAACCCAAATTTATAACAAAAAATATACTTTTCAAATTACAAACCCGGTTCAACCTTCACGCATGGACTCAGCAAGGTCAATTTTATAAAATACGAGCCTATTTTTCAAATATTTGAGCCGAAATTGAATTCAGCAGAACAAAAATACCAAATGTCTTTGAAAATACGTACTTTTGTGAATATTAACCAAGTTCGTCCTTCACGCATGGATTCAGCAAGTTCAATTCTATAAAATCTATAAACCTACACTGAAAATGTATTTTCGTTATTTCTCTGAAAACCGTTTCGTAAAAATGAATATCGTACATACAACACATCTTTCATAAATGGTACGAAACATTCGTTTTTCCTGTCATCTGGCGCAATGTCAATATTACGCCTTTTTCGTATAATATACAAATACATCTTCGTACAATCAAACCAACAACTTTTAGAAATATTGTCGGTTTGACCAATACATGCAAGCTACCACAATAAATCAAATTACTCGTCGCGGTGGTTTTATGTTAGAGAACAAAAATACATGCAAGCAGCAGAAAAAGCAAGAGAAATCGAAGTACCGCAAGCACTCATGGTGCTTCTTATTTGTCTTTAGCTATACCATTTCTCATAGCACAGATAGAGCGATGGACAAAGCACAGATCTAACGATCGCAAGGTACATGAGTTCGAGTCCGGTCTGAGGCCTATTTTTATTCTTTGTCATATTTATTCCTTCCAATGATGAAGTTATTTTTACCCAGCCTCACTAACACACTCCACAAAAGAAGGTATATTCATAGCAATTTAGGTTTCCTGAATTTCGGCCCCTTCCTTTGAACATAGGCGTGGATTTTATAGAATCCATGCGTATTTTTGTACACTGAAAATAAAATTTCGTTTATACAACGAAATCGCTCGTTTGTTCTACGAATTTATTCGTTGTTTTCTGCAACGAAATGGATTTGTACATTGTATGAAGCTAGTTTCGTTAGAACTGCCACACTCGCTATCGCTACGCTGGTTGTGGAACCGGTTTCCACAACCAGCGTAGCGATAGCGAGTGTGGCAGTTCTAACGAAACTAGCTTCATACAATGTACAAATCCATTTCGTTGCAGAAAACAACGAATAAATTCGTAGAACAAACGAGCGATTTCGTTGTATAAACGAAATTTTATTTTCAGTGTACAAAAATACGCATGGATTCTATAAAATCCACGCCTATGTTCAAAGGAAGGGGCCAAAATTCAGGAAACCTAAATTGCTATGAATATACCTTCTTTTAAGAGTTTAAGCCCAGTTTTCTAAAAAAATTGTGCATGCTTCAAAAAATGTACCATCACGTTTAGATTCAGCAAGGTGCATTAAATAAAATCTTAGTCTATTTATCAAAGGACGGAGCCAAAATCCAATTTGGCTTAACAGGAAACGCGAACTCATACAAATACTTGATTTTCCCAAAAATTAAAAAAATTCAAACCTGACGTATAGATTCAGCAAGGTCCATTCTATAAATTGAAGTTTTTTTTTTCAAAGATCAGAGACGAAATTCAACTTGGCAGAACAGGAAATCAAAGTTTCTATAAAAAAAAACGTACTCTTGTGAACTCGGTTATCTCAAAAATTAAAAAATTCAACCATTACGTTTGGATTCAGCAAGTTCCCAAGTAACCATAGGCACGTTGTTTTGCCTTTTTGGCTATATACGGGCCTCATCAGAACTAACAAGCTGTTGCCGGGACAACTAGGGTTAGGAATCAAGGCACCTCTTTTTAGAGTAGTTTAACTTACTTTAAGCTGTTAATATTTATTGTTAGCTTACGTTTCACAGGTAAATAATAGGTCGCATAATTACATTTAGTGTTTAAATAGAATTTCACTAGTTTTTAGCAAGAAATACAAAAATTTTAAGGAATGCAATTCAATCACTTTATACGTTGCAAATTACTGTTCATCTTTTTTCTATTCATTAAATCTTCAACGATTGACAGTTGCGTTGACGGCTGCAGCGATGACAAGCGGTGGTAGGGCTTCCAGCAACTTTGCTCGTCCGTCCGTTACGAGTTCAAGGGGACTGCAGATGGATCGTAGCAGTGCCAACGTTCTGGTTCTCTCCACTAGCCTCAACCTTACCATCCTCAGCTACCTCGATCACGGCGAGCTTCACCGCTGGTTGGCGGATGACCCCTGCTTCCGTACGAACCAAGGCCTGACTGGCTACCCCATCCTTTCCACGGATAACCTCGACGACCCGATCTCCACTGACCTCCACCATGTATTCCTCTGGTTCTAATTGGCGACAAAAACTAAGTTGCCTACTTCAATTGGTTTGGTGTCACGGAACCATTTCGTTCGCCTGGCGATTGTGGGAAGGTACTCGCGCAACCATCTCATCGATCTCACCAGTCGATCCCCCCAGTCGATCCCCCACACCCCACCCATGTGGGGAGCCACCGGAGGGTTAAAATACCATTTGGTCGTGGTATTGGTGAAGGTATCGGCACACAACTGGATTTGGTCATGAAACTCATTCGCTGCACCGCGAAAGTTGGTGCCGTTATCTGAGTATATCTCGGATGGGGCACCTCTTCTGGCGATGAATCTACGGATGCACATCTTGTTAAACTATGCGCCACCTCCAAGTGTGTAGCTCGAATTGTCAGGTACGTGAATAAGGCGACCCTCCTCTTAACGTGTTTGCGGCCGACTTTGACAGTAACTGTTCCGAAGTAGTCCAGCCCAGTGTATGTGAACGGGCGAAGAAATGCTTCCAGCCTGGCCCTCGGTAACGGGTCCATCTTCGGCGATCCCAACGATGCATTGTAAACCTTGCACATCTGATATCTAGCGGAGACTTTGCGTACCAGTTTTCGAACACTCGGAATGTAGACCTGTTGACGAAGTTCGTTGACTACCGTCTCCTGGTTACGGTGGTGACATCAATGATGGTAGAAATCTACGAAGAGAAAGGTTATTGGATGGTTCGGAGCTAGTATAACGGGATACTTAGCTTCGATTGGCAGGTTGGGAGCGGCGCCGATACGACCATCCATTCGCACCAATCCCTCTTCATCGATGAAAGCTGATAAGTTATACAACGGGATCGATACCGGCACCACCCCCAAAGGCTTTGTAGAATTTCTACTCTGTAACGCAGCTAGCTCCTCAGGAAACGTCTCCAGCTAGACCATCCTCCACAGTTTCACTTCCGCTTTGCGCAGTAGTTCGGAATCGGTATTTCCAACGCCGTATCTTCGCTCGTCGCTCCTCGGAATTTGAGAACGTACGCCACCGTTCGCCGCAGCTTTTCCCATCTCGAGAAACGTTTTACATCGATCCAAGGCTGTATGTTCCCCAGTCGGTTAACGAGTACTGGGCGTAGTTCTTCTGCTGCATCTGTTCCTCTCCAATTTTGCTCTGGCCAAAACTCTTCAGCACCCCATAGGAACTGTGGACCTCGATTCCATGGATCTTCAGGATCAAAGCACGGTCCCATTTCGTTGCCTTGTCCGCTACGTTCTGTATCGTAGGTACCTTCTTCCATTCGCTTGGGTTGGTTGATATCAAAATCTCTCCAATTCTGCAAGCAACGTACGGTCGATATCTACGGGAATCAGAATTGATCCAATGAAGAACCGTCGATGAATCGGTCCAATAGAATCGTTGATGAATGCTTGCAATTCAAGGCTTAGGATTGATAACGTTTTAATTGGAGCGACCTTGACTTTCGCTCCTAAATACCAGTGCACAATGCGGCTGACCAGCGTAGGTAAAGCGATTGTATACTACGCAAGCGTATGCAGTGCTGCTTCCGTCGACGAACGTATGAAGTTGCAGTGGCTGGCAATCTTCTAGAACAGCGTCTTTAAAATACGACATTGGAATACGGATATCGTTCAGCTTTGGCAACAACTTTATCCACCGCTTCCAATCTCCGAAAATCACATCATCTATCAGTCATCCCAGTCACAGTTGGCTCGCCACAAGTCTTGAATGATGATTTTCCCTTGGATCACGTACGTGGCAAGAAATCCGAGTGGGTCATACAGACTCATAACCGTTCTCAAGATTTGGCGCATCGTAGGACGAATTGAACCCTCTAACAAACCCTCTGCTGCACCAGGCATGTAACAAGAGAATGTCAGCACGTCTGATTGTGGCAACCAACCGATACCAAGGACTGATTCAGCAACGTTTGACTCCTCCGAACTCCACATCTTCTCCTTCGCTGCATTTCGCTCCCCAAGTGCTTCAAGTACTTCTCGGCAATTTGACATAAAGTTTCGAATTTCAAATCCACCTTGGCTATGGACGTATCTGACATCGTCAGTCAAACAAATGACCTCCTCCAAGTATTTCTGCTATCCAGAAAATCGTCCACATAGTGTCAATTGACGATTGTTCAGCTGCATTCGGGAATTCTAGTTCATGCTCTTTCGCATTAAGATTTTTAATATACTGTGCTGAGCATGGAGAACAAGCAGCTCCAAAAATTCCCATATTCATTACATAAATGACTGGTTCTTTGGAGGAGTCTCTTCGTTACAGGAACATCTGCGACTTCTGGTCCCTCTTCACGATCTTGTATTGATGATACATTTCCGTTATATTCCCAGTAACCGCGACACGTCGCTGCCGGAATCGGTACTGCACACTCGTCAGTGGAGTCAGCAAATCAGGACCCTTCAGCATCTTGGAATTAAACGATGTACCTTTGACTTGAGCGGCAGCGTCCCAAATTAATCGCAGCTTCTGTGGTTTCTTGTGGTTGATTACTATACCCAATGGTCAAAACTATAGTCGATCTTGATCTTCGGAGCACAGATCCTCCTCCGTTGCAATACGTGCGTATATCCCTTTTCCAAATATGCGTCCACCTGGTCTTCGACTCATTTAGCCAGTTCTGGAACCTTTTGAATCTTCCGCTCCAAACTCTTCAGCCTACTTAAAGCCATAGGATAGCTGTTAGGGAAATGAACCTCATCACACCTCCAAAGCAGGCCACTATCGAATCCACCTGGTACACGTCGAGTTGTTGATTCGAGAATTTGCCTGGCCCTTTTGTCTTCTGTCGATTCAGGCTCAGTAGTCAATGGTTTGACATCAAGGCTGTCTGTCAAAAAGTACTTCTTCACCAACTCGTGCAAATCCCCATCTTCAGTCAGCCGGCTAACGTGGAAAACTCCTCGGTAATCTTCTGGTTTGTATGACACTCCTCAGTAGACGCACCACCCTAATCTTGTCTTAGTGGCTATTGGTTGACCCCGTGGTCCCTCACAAATCTTTAGCGGAGTAGACATATAGAGATTTTCCAGGTCGATCAGTAGTTGCGGACGAGCTTCATCGTATCCATCAATAGGCAATCTTTTGAGGTACGGAAAACTATTCATTAGCTCACCTGGGTTGATCGACTGAACAGGAAGTTCTAAGTCTTCGACGGTACGTGCGTTGACGACATTGAAACGTCGTTTCTCCCTCTTTCCGGAAATATCCAGCTTCACCACGCAAGACTGATCCTCTACCCGGGACACGTTCCCAGTCCAGCGAAGATGCAAAGGATCTGACGATCCCTTGAGACCCAGTTTGTCAGCCAAAACTCTTCTCTATCATGGTAACCTCAGAAGCCTCGTCGAGTAACGCAAATGTGTTGATGATACCAGAAGCACCGTGAACCGTAACAGGGAGAATGCGATATATTACGGTCTGACTGACGGTATGGAAGTTTTGTGGGCTAGCTGTTGGTGATTTCCCATGCAGGATCTGCACAAGTTGTGCTGCCGCACCATCTTCCATCGTTCATCAGAATTCAATGCTTTGAACTTACCGCAACTATCCACTGCATGTGGTGTTTGTTTCACCTGGTCATCATCTGACGCACGGGAATCGCTGTGGTGATTGACGAATCCTCGGGCCTTGGAATAACCACTTTTCTTCATTTCATCTTTCGATACCTTCGCCAATGGTCGATACGTTGTCACTTCGCTTGCTTTCCGCACAATATCCGCCATAAACTGCCCAAAAGTATCCAGACTAACCCTCGGTACAGCGTCCTTGAAGTCAATCCACTTGAGCTTGATCTCCGACGGAAGCTTCACAACAAGTTCATGCAGCAACGATGGATTGGACAAATGTACTTCGAGATTCGCCACAATTAGGTGGTCGCAATAGTTCTGCACCGCCATGCGGTAAGCAATAAGTGTATCCAACCTTCCTTCCTTCGGTGACTGTGTATTTCGGATCTTGACCAAAAGTGAATTGATCAAAATCTCCGGTCTGCAAAAGAGCATTCTCAGAGTATGGATCACACGTGGGACTGCAGCAGGAAGTAGAAGCCGACTCCGTACTGCTTCAAGTGCATCGCCTTTCAAGCAGCGCTGCAAGCGGATAAGGTTTTCTGCGTTGGAATACCCACATTCTGCAGTCGAGTTTTTGCTAATGAAAGCTGGCCAGTCCTCCAGGTTTCCGGAAAATCTGGGTAAATCCTTTGGCAAAACCTGGCAGGCTGCCAGATGTGAAGCTGTCAGGTCAGATGCTCTACGATTGGGTTGAGTAGGAGCCCGTATTTGATGTGGGCGTGTTCCTACCCTTGGAGCATTTAAACCTGGATTTGTTCCCGGTTGATTTTCTTCGGGAATCCGGGATAGAACCGGTGGCCTCAATAGAATGTTGCGAGGAAGATCAGTTTGCCTCACTTCAGGACAATGAGAGATCCGTGGCCAGGCACACCACATATGTGGAAGCTGTTCTCGGTTGTCCACCCATCCTGCTGCCCTTAGTTTGCGAGAATCGTACAATGTGTTATACTTCTCTGTAAAACCCATCTACTCCAACTTCTTCCGGCATACTTCACGACGTTTCTCCTCTTCCAGCCGATGCGTATACATATCCAGCCGATGCATATACAGGCGTTCCCGTTCGGTGTTTTCTGCATTCTTCTCACGATCCTTTTCTCGACGATCTTCTCTTATCGTCTGCTGCTAGTCCGAAAGGGCTTTTGCTCCATCACACGAACGACCGCAACTAATGCTGCTGATCAAACTGCTCCTACCAGCTGCTCCCTCCAGTTGGGCGTTTAAAATCCGGTACTTTTCGGCGAGATACTGCTCCTCCAGCTTTCGAAGCAGGTCTGAACGGGATTTCTCATCGTCCAGTTTCTTCTTTACCAGTGCTTGTTCCTGCTCCAGCTGTCGGCGATCGTTTTCCAGCCGTTTTCGTTCCAGTTCCGCCTCCTTTTCGCGTTGCAACCTTTCTTGATCCTACTGACGACGATCTTCT